TCCCACATAGTTAGCCACAGTTCAAGTCCTGGACCTGACAGCTTAAAACTCATGACAGGTGCATGTGTGTACATGCCCAGAATTCAGAGAACAGGAGCAGAAGAGATTGCAGTGCGGCCATCCTCCCTGGGGGTGATTTCTCACGTTCCCTCTCACTGTCTCTCTGCCTCTCTGCTCTCTGTGAGTGTATGTGTCCTGTGCCAAAATCCTTAAAGAGAAGAAGCATGCAGTCCCTGCTCAGGGGCCTCTTCAGGCCTCAGCTTCTGGAGCTGTTCGACACATCTAATTCTTTTTCCTCTAGAGCAGAGGGTCTTTCTTTGTGGTGGGAAGTGAATTTTTGAGGATCAGTGTCAGTAGGGGGAAGATTCAGAGCTTAAATCAACAGATTGAGGTCCTTCCTCCCCATTCCCTGAAATAAGAAGTTAAAGCCCGTCCTGGTAGCCCAGTGGTTAAGGAAGCTGCATCCCACATGGCTGGCCAGGGTTCTAGTAGATGCCTAGACCAATGGCTTAAAAAGTCACTGGAGGGGTGGGTGGGTTCCTGGGTTCCTGAAAGGACCCAGCATTGGAGGGAAATGTTTTCAGAGTGACTGGACCTGTTGGGGGCGTTCTCTCTCTCTCTCTCTCTCTCTCTCTCTCACACACACACCCACACACACACACACACACACACATCCTCTGGCAAAAAAAAACAGAACGAAACAACCGTAAAGGGCTCCAGCCCCGCTGGAAATTCAATGACTATTTTCATGATCATCAGAAGTCCCCCCTCCCCCATCTTGGGACTAGCAGATGGCATAATGGTTACATTGCTGGACTCCCACGTAGTTGACTGTGGTTCAAGTCCCAGACCCGGCAGCTTGCACACTGGGTGCATGTGTACGTGTGCCCAAAATCCTGAGAGGAGAATGGAGGAGAAGGGATTGCAGCGTGGCCATCCCCCCAGGGGATGATTTCTCACTTTCTGTCTCTCTGTTTCTCTCCAGTGAGCACACATAACTTACAGCAAAAATCTCTAAGAAAAAAAAAAAAAGAAAGAAAGAAAGAAAAAAAGAAGAAAAAAAAAAAAAGAAAAAAGGAAGGGGAAAAAAGTCTCTCTTCCTTTGCCTGACGTGTGTACTTAGGTTGGAATGACTGTACTTCTACGCGGGCGGAAGTGCCTCGTGCATTTCACTTCTCGATCATTCCAGAGTCCCAGCCTGCTTGCCTTCTTTTTTTATTTCATAGCAGCTTCATAGAGATATAATTTACATACTTTAAAAGGTAAATACCATACATTTGAAATGTACAAATTCAGTGACTAATTCCTTGACAAAGTGGTTTTATTATCTTTATCATCTAAATGTAAAACATTTTCCTCATTCCAAAGAGAAACCGCCTCCCCATTAACAGTCTTTATTCCTCAAACTTCAAGTTACTGCAGCTCGCAGCTCGAAGCTCAGGCTTTAGGTATTAACCTGGTCTGGGTATTTCCTATCAATGGAGTCACACGGTATGTGGTCCTTCGTGACTAGCTTTCTTTATTTAGCATTCCTTCATACGGTTGTCAAGGCTTATCCGTATTATAGCATCTAGTAGTATTGCCATTCCTTTTTATGGCTGATATTATTTTATTGCAGGCCAGTTGGTGGTGCAGTGGGTAAGGCAGTTGAATCCCATTTGGCCGACTACCTGGTTTTTGTCTCAGACCCAGTGGCTTAAAAACCACTCTGTACGGATGGATGTGTGTGCATGCCCAAAATCTTGGAAGGAGGGAAAAATGGAGAAGGGATTGTGACGTGACCATCCCCATGGGAGGAAGCTTTCTCACTTCCCAGCTCTCTCTTGCGCTCTGTCTCTCTCCAGCGAACACTCGCACTCTCTGGTAAATTTTTTAAAAAATATATGTTTTGTTGCGTGGATATATCGCATTTTAAAAATTCATGCATCAGTTGAACACTTAGGGTGTTTGCACTTTCTGGTTACTCCTGTGAGCATCCATGTACAAGGTTATTTGTGGACATACACAAGTGCATTCCTCTGGGTCTACACCTAGGGGCAGAATGGCCGGATCATATCATAATCTGCGTTTTAACCCGATGTTTTGAGGAGCAGTGCTGCTGGGTCTTATAGTCCTTCTTTGTTTTCAGTAATTCTGTCTGTCCCCAAAGTGGTAGCACCATTTCACACTCCCACCAGCGATATGCAAGAGTTCTAATTTCTCCACATCCTTGTCAGCATGCGTTAACTTTCTTTCTTTCCTTCTCTCTCTCTTTCTTTCTTTCTTTCTTTTTCTTTCTTTCGTCAATCTATGGGAGTGAAGTAATACCCCGTTGTGTTTCTCTAATGACTAATCACATTGAGCATCTTTTCATGAGTTCATTGACCACCTGAGTATCTTCTTTGAAGAAAAGTCTATTTAAATCCATTTTAAAACTTCATTTTTTTGGGGGGGAAGGGAGAGGTTTTTGCTATAGGGCATGTGCCCTCGCCAGAAAGACAGAGAGAGAAAGGGAGGCAGAAAGCAAGAAATCACCCTCAAGGGGGTTGGCCATGCTGCAATGCCTTCTCCTCCATTCTCCTCTTGGGATCTTGGGCACACACGCACACGCACATGCACCTGGAGTGAGTTTAAGCCACCGGGTCCGGGACTCGAACCGTGGTTAGCTACATGGGAGTTCAGCGACATAGCCATTATGCTAACTGCTGGTCCCTAAAATTTCATTTTTTAAATTTAATTCAAATCTTGCTGGAGAGCGCATGAGCCCTATAGCAAAAATCTCTCAAAAAAATGAATTCAAATCCACTTAAAAATTAAGTTGTCTTTTAACTGTTGCGTTGTGAGGGTTATTTATATATTCTGTATAGAAATCCTTATCACAAGGGTCCACAAGGCCCAGGTTGGAACAGGACCACACATCAGGAGGTGAGTGACGGGCCTGTCAGTGATTCTTCATCTGTATTTATAGCCACTCCCATCACTTTACAACCTGAGCCCTGCCTCCTGTCAGATCCGAGGGGCACTAAATTCTCAGAGGGGCGTGAATCCCACTGTGAATGCAAATGTGAGGGATCTGGCTTGTGCACTCTGCTAAACCATCTCCTCCCTGCCCTCTGTGGGAAAATAGTCTTTTTTTTTGGAGAGGTTTTCACTATAGGGCACGTGCGCTCGCCAGACAGACAGAGAGAGACATAGAGACAGAAAGCGAGAAATCACCCCCCAGGGGGGATGGTCACGCCGCAATCCCTTCTCCTCCATTCTCCTCTCGGGATCTTGGGCACGCACGCACATGCGCCCGGTGTGAGTTTTAAGTCACCAGGTCCGGGACGCGAACCGCGGTCGACTACGTGGGAGTCCAGCGACATAGCCTAACTGCTGGTTCCCAGAGACTTTTGTTTTTTTAGAAACAATTCATGGTTAGTGAAGCCTATAAATGTAAGGGCTTTGGCTGGCTACTTGTCATAGAGGTAACATGTTACATAAGCGATGTTGGGTCCGCGTGGAAGATCATGAATTTAGTCCCGGTTAGCCTGTACACACATGTGATTCCAACTGGGAGGACCAGGGTGGTGATCGTGGCATGATGCCCTGTGGAGAGTGTTTGTCTGTCTCTCTCTCTCAATCTCTTTCATGAAAGAAATAAACGTTTTTTTTTTTTTTTTTTTTTTAAAAAAAAACGTTTTTTTTTTTTTTTTTTTTGACAGGTTTTTGCTATAAAGCGCCTACGCTCACCAGAAAGACATAGACAGAGAGATAAAAAGCAAGAAATCACCCCCACGGGGGATGGCCTTGCCTCGATCCCTTCATTTTCCTCTTGGGATCTTGGGCATGCACGCACAAGCTCCCAGCATGAGTATAAACCACCAGGCCTGGGACTTGAACCACGGTTGACTACATGGGAGTCCAGTGACAGCCATTACGTCAACTGCCTGAACTAAACTTTTAAAAAGAAATAACACAATGTGAAAATAAAATAGTATAAACCTGTTTTTCACACTGCTGCTCTTGACCTCTTAGTGTATGACAATGTTAATTTAGTGGATGATAAATCTTACTTTAAGTCAAATAAAAAGAAAAGAAGATAATATAAACAATCAAAATGCACCTGCTGTATTAAAGAAAACCTTACTTTCTAACTTTTGTGTTATAGATGTGTGTGTGTGTGTGCATGTGTGTGCGTGCATGTGTGTACCAGGAATTG